GCTTGAAAATTTTTGAAATTGTCCCACCAAATAATGCATTTTTTCCCTTTGCATGAACAGACCTCAAAATTTCAAGTGAAATTTTTTTGAAAAATAAAAACCCCATTAAAATCAAAAAATTTCTGTTGCATATTATTTCTAGCTTGTTTGTGGTTCAGCAATTTTACATTTTTTCTTTGAATGTTTGGCTCAGGTGCCAAAGTTTCTCTCCAAATATTCCATGGTGACACCTCAAACTTGGGATATCCCTACATCATCGACAAACTGGATAAAAATGCTGGCAATTTATTAAAATACGTTGGCCGTAAAAAAAATGATTTCAGACAAATTTTCCTGAATTTTGTAAAAAATATGGGTTTTTTCCTTGATAAACAGGTAATAAATCCCTCGCTTCTCCAAGACAAAATTTTGTCCTTCTCAAAGCCAGTGTCGCAAACGAAGCCTTTTTGAAAAAAAGGAAACCGCCATTCCATCTTAGCAAAATTCGGCAACAGTGTGACTGGAAGTGAACTTACGAGCAACGTTTGGCAGAAAGCATGATGTTTTTACAGCTGGCTGCATCATAGGCATATTGAGAATTCTCTTCCACAAAAGCAACAACTTCTTAGCGACAACTTTCATACATGTCCTTAACTGTAAATCCTGCAAAATTGGGGAAAATCACACAAAAATTCGAAAATACAAAAAAGAAAAAAAACCACATTACAGCGACCACGAACTTGCTTCAAAGCAACTCTCAAAAGAGGGAGCCATCAACAGCCTTACCAGCGGGTAAATACTGTTGGAGTTTACTACTACTCGAACCACTTCCAAGTGCTTTTAACTTTCCGTTAAGCTGAAGACGGCGGAATTTGCAATCTCAACTTTTAGCAGCAGCACTGAAAAATTTCAGAAGGCAGATAATCATGTTCTGGCCGACTTGCATATCAAGTAAACCCCATATCCAAATCGGTTCAAAATAATCTCCTAACATCATTATTTCCAAGGGGAAAGGACGGGGTACGAGGGCGAAGGGAGGGGGGGGGGGGGGGGGGGGAAGGGGAAAACCCAATGCCCCTAGATGAAAGTAAATCTAAGAAAAAACCCGAACTTGCACTATTTCACGATCTTCTATTAGCTCTCTCATCTCATCTCTTTCCCTCCCCTCATTTCTCTCAAACCTTACCTCATCCGAATATGAAACAATTCATGTATGTTCTTCCAACTAAATTTAATGTCCCAAAAAATCTTCTTGGGGTAAAAATGTGGGAAAAAACAGCTGCTGTCAATGTATCCTTCTTAGGCAGCACATCAAGTGTTTCGGGATAAGAAGATTGTAGCAACCAGGAATAAGGTTTTGAGGATGTAAACACAGATATAGAACGATGAAGCAGCCACAGCACACACATAAAGAAACAACTAATTTATTGTATTTTATTCAACAGTGCAATCTGACAATAAGCTGAAACAATCACAAGTAAAAGCATTCGAATAATCCTTGTTCGTTAAAAAAATCCAGCACAACCCCGAGAAATCTGGCAGGAACAGTAAAATTAATAAAAACAGCCCGACACCCCAAAAAAACACAGATGCGATAATTCTGGTCAGTGATGTGACCAACAGTTCGGACAGTTCCAAAGCCATTGGTTATCGATTACAGTGGCCCAGTCTTCACTTGTTTACCAGATTCTGATGTAATAAAACAAAGTGAGTACATAACTTTCCCTCGTAACTCACTTTTTTCGGGAAATAGAGGGAGGCGGCTGGAAGTAGAGGGCCGAGCGGTAACCACCAGTATCAGCCATCTTACTGGAAAAGCTGCCAAGGGCTCTTTCTGATGATGCTTGCTTACAAGCAGTTTGACTGCCTTGCGCATATGCCAGTACCAATTTACCAACGAAACGAATTAATGAATGAATGAATCGTAGAAGAAATCTTCAATATCTATTGGCTGAACTCCCCCTCCCCTCTTCTCCTCCCTCTTTCCAGCCCAAATTTCGACATACAAATTACTGCACAATATCATCACCAATGATTTGATACAATATTTTAACTTAAAAATTAACATTTCTCATTTCTCAACTGATAGTAACACTTTTGCTTCAATCCGAGTTCTCCCAGCTAAAACATACAGTTTCGGAAAAATTTCGTAACATTCCTGTTAATTTTTTGTACAAACCACAAAAAGCATCCCTCTTCATTTAACGCAATTTTGCACTTTTCAGAAAAATTCTTGCTTTTTGTAAACAAATTTCACATTCTCCGCTATAAAATTTTTTCCTTCCTGCACTTTTCCGTTGTAACATTATTTGTCAGCGTAGGTAACACTGCTGTTTCTCCGAAATAAGTGCTTGTCGAAAATAACACACAAAAAAGAATCAAAGCTCAAAGTCGAGGCAGAAAAACGTTACAACGAAATGAATGCAACAATAAATCTCATTCCAGTACATTCCTATATTCAACAAAGGCTGGAACGCACCAGGCGAGCCGGTGCGATCATGCGTTTTTGCATCAAAACTAAAGTAAGCAAAGGCTGGAAAGCACCAGGCGAGCCGGTGCGATCATGCGTTTTTGCATCAAAACTAAAGTAAAACTCCCGAGCGTTCATTTCCAAAAAAACCGCGTTCATTTACATATACGATTGCGGTTAAGGTCCGAGCAACCAGCAGTGTTCGTTTCCAAAAAAACCGCGTTCATTTACATATACGATTGCGGTTAAGGTCCGAGCTGAGA